GCCGTTGGGGGCGGGTCTGCCCGCTGCTCGCGGGCGCTTTGCCAACGCTCCCCAGGTGGGCGTCGCCTTGGCCTTCCCCACCTTTGTACTTTTGCACATCAGAAGATTAGGAGAAGGGATTCTGCATGCAAATAGAATTAACAGGTATGCTGCTTTGCAAACATACCACTTCTCTGATCTCTGTGTTTTTGGAGTTGTTGCATGCATGTTGGGCTGAAATCAGCTGAGATCAAAAAGGGGCTTCAGTGTTACTGAGTAAATAAGAGGAAGAAAGGGAGCATGCAGGACATGGTAGAGTACAGTTGAAAGAAAGAGAAAGCGAAAAGTGAGCAAGCATCCTTTTAGTGGAAAGAGATTTTTAGCTCTTGCCGTGTAAAGCTTCAGATTGTTGTTTCCTGGTGCGTGTCAAAATTTAACACAAGTTGAAAGGCTTAAATAACCCTCAGCTGCTGAAGACAAAATCCTAGCGATCATAACTGGAGACTTTTTTTGTCTTTCTTTTGGCTAGCTTTTATCTGTGCTGGTCACCCGTGTTTCTTCCTGACTCCTAGGAATTTGTTGCAGCCAGAAGGATCCTGGAATGCCCAACCTAGGCCATACATCTCTACTCCCTTGTGGTACACTGCCACTTCTGTTAGTTGTGATTTGTTCTCTTGAGTTAGGAAATAGCTACAGGAAATAGTTAGCCTTAAAAAATCACAATGTTTCTCCTGGCAGTTTTTTCTCTCATAATACTTGATTGATAGAAATATAGCTGCTTTGCCATTAATGTTACTAAAGCGATTCAGCTGTATATTTAGAAATAGAATTCCTCTGTTTTCTCTAAGCCAAGATATAAGCAGAAATAAGCAGAAATAAGCAGAATGCAAGCAGCCATTAGTCATGATTTTGTGGAGTGTTTCTGATAGGAGGAAAAACTGATGATACTATCAAATATTTTTAATATCCATCATTGATGGTTCTGTTTATTTATAACATACATACAAAGTTATTTCTCATTGTTTGATTCTTTATAGCTCAAAAGAAAATGATATATTTGATCCTAACCCATTTCTTTATGGTTCCTGGTATGCATTGAAAATGATCCTGGTACCTTCAGTAAGAATTTATGCTCTTTTGGATATTTGGATGTTCTGCTTGGGCTACTGAATGGCTGCACTTATGCACAGGCTTGTTGCTGTTCTCTCTTTCCTCATCTTTTTTTCACAGTACTCCAAGGCTGTGATGATTGCTGCTCTCTTTCATAAGGAAATTTCAACCTCCATATTTCATGTTTTTATTTGGACATTCACCAGACCTCAGTGTCTCTTTGCGTACTGCAGACCACTTCAACCCTAACACTTCAGAACCTAACAGTTTGACTCAGCTGTTTTAAAAGACAGGGTAGCATCACTAATCAGCGAGAGCTAGGACCCGGCTTCAGACCAGAGCCGTCATGACAAAGATCACGTATGTTTCATGACTGATATTCCCAGATATCTCTGCTGCAGTCTCAACTTGGTCTTGGAAGAGGGACTGGGCCTTTCTAAACAAAAACATCCATGCACAGGGTTGTTACTGAGAACTTGGAAACATTGACATTTCTATGCAAAAACAGCAGCCGTGATGACAATAAAGTATCTAGAGTGATCTGCGATGTAGAGAGAAATTTGTAGAATATTTGTATTGTACAATAGAGAAATACTTTCTCCTGTAAAACTGGGAAGATTGGTGGTCCAGGCAGTGGGTATGTGTATGTGTCCCACTGTTGGCCTCTCCTACATGAGAGAAACTGCTATTATCTTCCTCTTACTTATTGCTATTTCTGTTCCTCCCCTTTCCAAGCCAGCTTATCCTGGCTGCATCCCACAGTTGTTCTTCAGCAGTCCTTTGGTGACCTTGTCTCTTCCCATGATTCACTCACCTCTTCCAAAAAGGTGTATCCCCAGGCTCCGAATTGCTTCTGTATATTACACGGCTTTTTTCCTAGTGGTCTTCCATATCTTCTGCCAGGACAAAGCACTGTGGTATTGTCATGAGCATGCACGAAGATCCCAGTGAAATCAGAAGCTATGTCTGTAGTTCAGCTCTGGTTCAAAGAATGGCAAGACAGACTTCTACTGATTCAGGCATGAAAAAGACTCATCTCCTTCTCCTTCCCTCCAGGTGCAGCCTGCATTGGGGTGAGGGGTTGGTCCTGCATTCATAGAAGGTGGAATTAATCATAATATTGAGGGTTGGAAAGCATGTTCAAAGACCTCATCGTTGACTGCATTCTCATAAGCAGGTGGTGGAGTGAGCGGCTCCAGTGGCTCAAACCTGTCTTCAATACCTTTCACTTCATGGATGTCTGAAACAAACCGCTGCAACCTGGGGGGCTGCACCAGCTGCAAGTGCATCCGGGAGCCTGTGTCTGTCTCGGAGGTGCACCTTATGTTTGGTGGCACTGAGACCCTGAGAGTCTCTACCACAGTCTCTCCTCGGGCAGATGATTCAATAACTACATTGTAAGGGGGAGGCTCATTCAGTGGTGAGGGCACGGTGCCCGGATTGGATGCAATTGTCCATATTGCTGGAGCTGACATAGTCATCACCTCCTCATAGGTAGGTGCTTCATAGGCAGCATTCACCCTGTGCACAAGAGAGAGGAATACCAGTTAAACTGGTTACTTTATTGTTTATTTTATGCAGAGGCAGGCAGTCTAGATAACGTAAAGTAGGGACTATGCTACAAACAACAGATAATTGACTTGTTATCTCATGTGTTCTGGTGTATGATATTCTGCCATTGGATCAGCTCAGTGGTCCAGCCAACTTAAAGTCTTGCCTCCTATTCTAGAGAATGGCTTATGTGACTTTATTTTTCTACACTTAGAGTAAGTAATAACCCAGACTGTTCAATCCAGTGTCCTAGGCTTAGCTTAATATTCCCTCATTTAAAATCTGCCACCAGTTAAAATTTATTAGTAAGAACTACTAAGTGCTATTTCTGAGAGGAAAAACAGGATTTTCCTTTTCTGTCTCTATTTTAATATATTAGACCAACATTCATCTATTTTTAAGAATATAAGTGGAGAAAAAAAAGTATTTTCATTTAGTTTAAACAAAACTTTCCATTCTGTGCTAAAAAGAACATCTACAGAGAAGAATATTACTTTAGAGACATTTTCCCTTTTAGGTCATATTTTTGAATAAATGAATACTAGTTTTCTTCTAGTACACCCCAAAACTAGCAAAATGCACTATGAAGCTTCTTTTTATGTATTATTTCTAACAGTAAAGACGTGGAAACATTTTTGGCCTCATACAAAAACTTGTATCTGAGAATGCTGAGCAGTTTAAGGGTGTGGAAAATGATATATTATACAGACAGGCAAGCAAAGAGGCAAATAAAGTTAAATTCTTTAACTACAGTAGGCAAATTGAGGTTAAATTAGATGGTACTGAGTACCTGAAAACAGTGATGAAGCCAAAAGAATTCGGGAGTGTTCAGTGCCTCTCAAAATCAGGACCTATTAGTGTCAAGTTGGATTTTTAAGAATGGAACCACACCTGGTTACAGGTTCCTTTGTAAAAGTTTGCCAAGGAGCAGTTGCTTTGGGAATAAGGTTATAAAACTAAACCAGCTAACTAAACCACCTCAGCATTTTTTCCTTTTTCCTTGTCTGACTCATTGTTGAGCAAGACTCACTTACTCAAGGGAAGATAAAGCAGGGCTGGATCTGTTTAGTCTTAGAAATAGTCTATGAATCAATTCCCAAGGGGAAGAAAACTTAGATTGGACAAGATATAGGAGATCTGTGACATAGACACTTGCAAGCTCTACCTGGATAATGAAGAAAAACACCCTAAAATGAACTTCTCTACCCTAAAATGGAGTTTGTGTTTGGTTCCCTGGGGAAAAGGCAGCAAAACAGTATGTAAAACGGTCTTATCTAAGGAGAGAAAGTTAAAGAGGAATAATGGAGGTTGCTGCTTACCCTGCTTGGCTCTGTCTGTTGGGAGCTCTCTCATTTGTATCATGTAGGCGCTGATGCTTCAGGTAACATTCAACAAACACACTCAACAAATAGCCGATCAGGCACACTCCTCCTACACCTAGGAAGAAATAGCCTACAGGATTGATATTAGATGAAATGGCTAGCATGGTGACCCCAATGAGAAGAGCAGCAGTGAAAAGAAGCAGCAAGGTTTGGCGGATATTCTTCCAGTGTGACTCTAACCACATGGTAGTATGGATGGTGGTAGCAGACAGTGGAGGACAGATGGGCAGCTAAGGGGACAGACATCTGCGGAAGACAGAATAATTTTTCAGCACAAAACGTGAGGATAACAAAGATGATGTTATTTTCATGACCAAAATAAGAGTATATATACTTAAGTGCATACTATCATGAGAACACGCAGATATATACATACATAATAAACCTGGGAAAACTGTATGTAAATGCTTGCTAATGTAAATATATATTGCCCTTAGAATTTGCTATAGGAATGCATATTAAATAATGGGAATGCTTGAACTTGCAGTTGCAAGACATAAAGGGCATACATAGACCATAAGCATTTATTGTCAGGCTTATCTGAAAAAGTGTAGTCACTTGACAGAACAGATTGCAGATTTGATGTTACCATAAAAGATAAAACACAGAATAAGTGGTTTATTTTGGGACGTTTTTGCATTGCATAAAGAACGTTCAGATAATGGCTCAGATCTTGGAAGAAAGGTAGCGTTATTAATGGGGTGCTCTGCCCAGGTGAATTGGAGGGCTAACCTTAGTGTAGCAATGCAGCAATAACATTAGGTTCCAGATATAGCTGGGCTATTTCTGCTTTTGAAAAATACAGACATATGTTTGACTATCTGGCCATACCCTCAGTTTTTTTCTGTTGATGTGCTTCTTTCCATCATTTTATTCTCCAACACCTCAGCCCTTGTCAATTGACAGACTCCCTCCTGCCCCCCATTCAAAATCCCATCTCTGTGAAAGAGACAACAGTCGTCACTGTCTACAGTGGATATGGAATGAATACCAGTGATCTATGGTATTCAAGAAATAGCAGAATTAAGGAGTCATCTTGCATGTGTTATACTAATGTATACTAATGCAATAAATTCCATTGATGATGAAGCCCCCTTTGAGGGAAAAGAGCATAACACAACAGATGGATTTTTTGTGAATATGCATCTCCAAACAAAAATACAGTTTTATATAATTCCGTATTACATTCTGCTCTATTGCAGAATGTGTGACATATTCTTAAATAAATGTTCAGTACATTTACTAAGATTATTAATGCTTTAAGCAAAAATACGTAACTATCTATATCTATATATCTATATCTATATATATACACACATGCCACATACGGAAAGACACATTCTTTCTGAACATATTACCTTCTTGCTATCTTTTTTACTGTCAACTTACAGCATACACTCACCAGAGAGAGCTTTTGGTAGGTAGGAACAATCATGTTTTAACTTCTCTCTTCATCACAAGGAAGCGTGAAAGCTCTTTTGTCCCTGCTTCTTCCCTTTCTGACCTTAGGACGGGGCACCAGTAAAAAGCTCTCCCTTCCTTCTTTTGAGTTTCCCTATAGGTAGACAAGGAAGATTTCTTTTAAAAGTAAAAGCTGAAAACTAGTGAATAAGGGAAGGTACCAAACCACAGGAAGATCCTGTTGCACTAGTTTTTCATGGGAAACTAGAACCTCATTTTTCCAGATTCTGAATCCAAAACAATTTCACATACCTTCTCTTTTTCCAGCTTTTCGATTTGCACGTCTGTCCTATGAAAGCAGGAAACTCATTAGGGAAAAAGGGCGGAGTGAACAGTTGGGGAGTGCTTACCTGTGTGAGATCTGTTTGATCTGCTTTCCTTTAATGAGCGAAACTGTCCTGAAAATTATGTTGTCCCTGCACAGCAGAAGAATCTTGATCTCTGCCTCACAAAGCAGGAAGGATTGCAGACCCAGCCCACATCACATGGCCACCATATAAATCTATTTATGAGCTCTGTAAAATATAAATCTGTACTTTTTTCTATCCTGATTGGCTGCTGCATGTCAGATATTGCTTTATGCCCTCTTTGATTTTACAAACAAAAGGGAAAAAGGAGGCAATAGGTTATTATTTTGCAGAGGGTTGGATCAAAATTATTTTTACTCTCAGATACATCTGGGAGTGAGGAATACAGATAAGCAACAGGACAGGTACTGAAATATTCTTGAAGTCTATAGATATCTGAACCTCTAGTATGTGTCTGAAATTCACTGGAAGTTCTCAAACAATGAGCGTCAATTAACTCAAAGAGCTGGCTGCATCTCATGTTTATCTGTAGTATGAAGATTGCTGACAGATTATTAATAAATTTCAGGCTGGACGATTGGGCCAACAAGAATTGTATGAGGTTTAACAAAGACACATGTAAAGTCATGCACGGACAGAATAATTCCAAGTAGCAGTGCAGAGTGTGGTCTGACTGACTGCTTTGCAGCTCTGCTGAAAATGCTGGTCCTGGTGAACAGCAAGCTGAACAGGAGTCAGCAGTGTGACTGAGAAGCAATGAAGGCAAACTATGTTCTGGGCTGCATCGGCAAGTGTATAGTCAACAGGTCAAAGAATGTGATTATTCCGCTCTACTCAGCATGTGTTAGGCCATACCTGAAATATTGTACAGTTTTTGTCCCCCCAATTCAAGAGAGAAATTGAAAAATTGGAGGGGGTCCAGTAAATGGCTGTCAAGATGATTAGAGCGCTGGAGGACTTTACAAATGAAAAAAGATTGAAGGAATTGGTTTTGTACAGCTAAGAGAGAGAAGGCATAGGGTGGGGGGAGCGTCTAATCACGTGTCTCCAATATCTAGTAGGTAGTATCTAGTTTCTTCATCTAGAGAAGATGGAGGTACTGTCCTCGTAAGGATGCAGAGTGCACAGGAGGCAATGGCACAAGTTGATTCCTGGGAAATTCCGTCTGTAAATAGGAAATTAAATCTGCAGTGTGAAAACAGTTGAACATTGCAATTACTTGCCCAGAGAAGTGGTGGGATCACCATTGCTGGAACCATTCAAGACTCAGCTTAACAAGGCTCTGGTTAACCTAATCTAAGGCCCTGCTTTCAGTAGAAGGTTGGACCAGATGGTCTCCTCACCTAGCCTTTTCCATGTTTCTATGTTTCTAATATTTTTCCCTTAGGACTGCCTTTTTGGCTGCTGACATATGAAGGACTTTCAGCTCTCAGTCTTAGATTGCAACCTGACTGTTATCTGTTCAAGAATTCCTTTGAAGATGTCGGACTTAACATCAGTGTTAAGAGGATAAAGTCAGGCATCTGGTATGTAGCATGTCATTTTGCAAGACCATACATGGGAAAAACAATCTGTTTCTTACAGCTCTTTCTGGTGTGGAGTTGTGTAGTTTTGAAAACAATTTAACTGCCAGGGAAGATGTGACAAAAATGTTTTCACAATTTCTCTGCACAGAAAGCATGACTGACTCATGATGGAGTCTGGACGTCTCAATACTAAGAGTAGCTTCCTTCTAACCAGGGGTAGCTGATAGGCTGGTATTTATTAGGACTATTCTTTAGAAATAAAAGATGTATATTGCATTCTGTTGGGTTGAAGAGGAAATTAAAATACACTTCAGAACATGGCTAACTGTTCTGTTTACTGTGCTATTGTAATAAAAGAGTTTCACTACCAAAAGAATTATTTTAAAAGAAAGTAGTTCCACTCTTTAAAGTAGTGATTTAAAGCTTGGTTTGACCAGACGGTTGAACCAATCTAATAGATTACTGCTGTGGAGTATGGTAATCCTTGCTCCTTCCTCCTTCCAGCTCCAGGCTGTCAGATCCTGTCCTTTCCCTTGCAGTGTTTCTGGTGCTCTACTGATCCCTTACTGAGCCAGTTCAGCTCACTAAATTGGCAGGAAAGTCTTGACGTTTTTCCAGAGTTAATCTTTTGCCAGTTTAGTGGGCTGAATCTGGTACTAAAGGATCAGGTAACTGCTAGATGCCATTCAAGGGAAGCAGTGGGAATGCATAGCTAGTGTGGTGGAGAGGAAGGCAGAGAGAGCAGGAATATCTTTTAGGGCTGCATTGAGGGTTGGTTGATCAGTTTAACCCAAACCATTCTAGCAGAAGGAAGTTGTTCCTTGTTTAACTGAGTAAACACCTAATCTGTGGCAGAAAGGTAGAATTTAGGACCCATCTCGTCCTCAGTATATTCTCTTAATTACGCTAGGGATTGTCTTCTTTGCCTCCTGACTTCAGGCAGCTCCCACCTGCGGCACACTGACTGTTGTTGAATCCCATTTTGCAGTACTTTGCCTTCCTCAGGCAATGTACAGGGAACCTAGGCACTTCACTCGTCTGTAGATTCTGCAATGGCAACTAGGCACATAAAAATAACTGCCTTGAGGCTAGATTTTCTTGCTAAATTAGGAGAAAGTTAGAAAGGTGGAACTAGCTTCATTAGCTGGTAGAAAACTACCTCTGTGATTGCAAAGACTATTAGATTTGGGGATAGGTAAAAAGAAATAGATCTTGTTCAAAATATGTGTCGTAGTTTTGATCGGTGCACTTTGTGGTGAAAAATTTATAGACATAGTTATCATTGATGAGCATGAAAAATGCTAAAAATAATAGGTATTTCTGTTGCTTACATCTATTGTTACTTGTATTACTTGCATTTCAGTTTAATCAGTAACTGCTGTGTATTTTACCCACGGAATTACATGGATGACTGGGCTGAATCTATGTAAGAATGATTTTTATGCATTTACAAAAATGATACCTTGTAATGCAGCTGTGAATGCATTAGTTGAACGTGTTTATGTAGGTGATACTAACTGCCTTCTGGATCCGAAGATACAAAGCGCTATGAACTTGAACTTCTTCCATATGATAATATGATTTCTAGCACACAGTGCTTCTATTTGGAGCATCTTTTTTCTATTTCTGAATGACTTCTGAATTTTTTGTCTATTAGTCTGCCCTTTTGATTTTGTCCACAGACTGGTTCAGACTGTCATTGCTTATGGTGTGTGGGTATCTATAACAGAGAAAAATGGACTGCATAGCCATATCAAGAAGCCTGTGAAAATACCAAGATGTTGAGAAGCCAGAGGGGCCTGGATGGGTCGTCTGGGAAAGGCCTGACAGGTACTACTGTGCAGTGATCATGAAACAAGGGATAGAAATCTTGGAGAGTGAACAAGGATG